CTTCCTTTTGAATTTGGTGAAGCCAGCTCTGGCCTGCTCCATGCCGAGGCTTCTCCACTCGCAGGCAGAAGGGAGACACACCCGAAAGAAAAGGCGCAGACAGGTAAGGGGGCAGAGCCCCAGGCTGGAATGTCAGGGGGCAGCGTCACGCGGGCTGGGCTGGGCAGGATCCTTGCCTTTCTGAGGAATTGTCTCACCTAGTGATTTTCTTCTTTCTGTTTTCTGTCACAGCAGCTACCTCACAGGTCAGCGAGGGCAAAGGTTACCCATCCCACCTGCCTCAGCATGCGGCAAAGACCTGGGACGAAGGGTGGGCTGGGGTTGGGGAGGCATCGTGTTTTATCAAACATGAACCATCCAAAAGACTTCCTGAAGCCTCCATTGCCTTCCTCCAGTTTCCAAGGAAGTTTTCTCTACTCACTCACACACACTCACACAACCAAAACCCTCCACCACAAGCTTGTTCAAATATGAGCATCTGCAATTCCAAAGGTCTACTCACGGGAAATCGCCCTGTTGGCCTATCTGCTAGTATTACCATCCCTTCCTCACACCCAACAATTTGCTGTTTGGTCAGGCTGAGTCCTCTAGGGGGAGAGAAGGAAGCCCAGGGGGCTCCCACAGCCGCCATCATGCTAGAAATGCAAGCACAGTCCACCTACCCTTCTCTCCCCCCCAAATCAGATCCATCGAGCTCCACTTCAGTGTTGACTGGCACTGTGCCTCAGCCTTGCCCACCCCTTGGCCTGCTCGCCACTCCCCTTGGAAACAGGCGCCATACTGTGAAAAGAGGCAGGAAGTCCAGAGAGCCAGCCGGCTAGCAGAAACCCGCCACTCGGCACCAAGTAGGACGCAAGTGAGACGCCTCTTGACCTGTCCTTTCAATCTTCCTCTCACTCTTCCCAGCATTTCTTCACCAAAGGAGGATGGGGCCGATTAAAGAGTGATAGCTCTCCAGAGTGTTCCTAAAGACTTGCTGACATTCCTCCACTGGGACCTGGTTTGGGAACAGATAGCTTTTGTGCCCCGACACCAGGTGGCTCGGCTTTAGGGGCTGGGTGGGAGTTGAGGGGACGTGCTCACTTGTGGGGGGCTGGCCTCGCTGCTGAAGCCCTCTCCCCGGGGCCTTTGATCTGCAGCTCTGTGGGAAGGGGTACTGAAAAGGAGGTCGGGTGAGGGAAGGGAGGTCACAGGGGCATCTACGCACACTGTGGGGCCGGCCTGAGCCCAACACCTTGCTTCCACCAGGGAGTGTGGCCATTTCAACCCTCTTCATGCAGGGCCTGGGCTTGGGGGCTTTGCCAAGAGCCCAGTCAGAGTGAGTGGGGACGGCTGCTGCAGCCTCACTGGCTGACGACCCCACGGGGGACATGGCCACCATGTGTGAAAGGCTGTGAGACTTTGTCTAGAGGTTTCTCTGGCCTCCTACTCCTTCATTCACTGGTCTGTGCCTGGACTGTGTGCTGGGGGATGTGTGGGAGAAGGGAGAGAAGATGTGGGCAGGGCAGGGGCTGTGTGAAAGAGGACAAGTAAGACCGAGACTACCGTGGGGAAGGACCACTTGCCCGTCGCTCCCAGTGGCTTTCAGGAGGGGATAACTGTCTCTTCATTGAAGGATGGATACAAGCCACATTCCTGGTGCGCTGATGGGAAAAAGAGGGTGTTTGGGAGGGGGCTGCATCAGCTCTGGGCAGAAGGGCTTTTTCTGCTTGCAAAGGAGGGGAGGGCAAGGCTCCCATTAGCTGGTTTCAGAACTACAGGAGAGCTCAGAGATGGGGACACCCACGCCCAAAGGTCCATTAAGCAGGGACTCCACATTCTCCAAGACCACGCCTCCTCAGATCTCAGGCCACTGGGAGCTCAGAGAACACACAGCTGACGGCGAGAGTGCTGTCAGGAGCTGCGTTTGGCCGGGACAGAGGACAAGGCCTGGACTCCTCCTCAGACTTGTGCTCTGGGGTGGCTTCTTCCTGAAGCTACTGTGGAAGAGAGATGATGACAGAAACAGTCTTCCTAACTCTTGCCTCCTTCCTTTTTTTTTTGGTCTCACAAAATGGGACATCTGGGCGTCCCTCCAGTCTACTCCTACACTCACAGATATTAACAAGTTTAAATATGAAAGAGAAAACACGAAAACACCTGGAATAAATGTGCTAAAACGTCAATGGGATGACAACAATGATCGTTATAGTGACAAAAGCAAAAATAATCAACACCATGATGTCATCTCTATGAGCAGCAAGCAACTCCCCTTCCTGACCTGGAAGAAGGGGGGATGTCAGGTGAAGGAACAGGAACTTCCAGCTCGAGCGGACAGAGCGCTTTCTCCAGGATGGAAGGCCTTCTTGTCGTTTCCCCCAGAAGTTCAGCTCTAGAAGGCTGGAGCTGGCTGTGCAAAGGGGTCCAGGGAGCCAGCCCGTAAGGCAAACTGAGGTTCATCACAGCCGAGACTGGGTGCTTTGAAAACTCGATGCAGAGAGAGAAGGCCTGATGGGATATTGCTGCCACCTGGCTGTCAGCGAGTACCAGTGACAGGGATTTTCCGGGGGTGGTGGGGGGCGCTCTAGGTCACGTGTCCTCTGAAGGCTTGTGCCCCCTTCCCAGACTGATCATGTCCCTGTTGGCTCAGGTGCTGGCACTTCCCGCCTCCGGACAAAGATGTGTGGATCATGGCACCAAGAGGAGAGTGTCCTGCTGGCTTTGCACCGTCTCCCGACTCTTTGAGGGGTGGTCATGATGTCCTGCAGCTCGAGGGCTAGACTACGCTCTCTCCAGTTCGGGGACCTCTTTCTTTGTAAGGTAAGTATGAATTCACGATCGGGGGTGGGGGGTTTCCAGAATTACTTCACAGCTAAGAGCTAAGGTGACGGCTTAGAGGCTGGGCAGCCGGAATGGAATGACACTAGCATCCTACAAACGCTTTCACAGTAGACCGTTAAGGAAGGCTGTGGGCTGGGAGGAAGGGGAGGCGGGACAAGGTGGGTGCTGCATGTGAGTGACGGACGTCAGGACCAGCCATGGACTCGGTCACAAGCATCGGACGATTGGAACCTGTCAAGTCCCATCTTGGACAGAAAGATTCCCCCTCCGCTCAGTAACTTGCTGTGAACTGTGAATCGAGAGAACTTCCGCCCTGGCGTGGTCCCCAGCAGGGTTCAAAGCCTGAGGAAATGTCCAGAACGTACCAAAGGTAGGAGGACAAAGCGTGGGTTTCTTTGGAAATGTAACTGTCCGTGGGAGTGTTTTCCAAAGTGCAGTGTCAAACCAACCCCCTGGAGACCCTCCCAAGTGCCCCTCCAACCAGGCCCCTCACAAGCCAAACCTGAAGCCACGTCACAGGTGGACCTGGGTAACGTAGGGCAGAGGTCAGCAGCAGACAGAGGCAGGTGGTTGTCTGCAGGGGCAAGGAGGGCCTGGCAAAGCAGTGAGGGCAGAAGACCACTTGTGGACCCCCAAGGCCAGGAGTGGGGTGCAGAGAACAACAGCTTCTGGTGTGTGTGGGGGAGACATGGCCAGGGGACCTGTGACACGCAGCAGCCTGTCCCCTCCCCGGTTCCAGGGCTGCGGAGCTCATGGGGGGCTGGCTTCGTCTTTGCTGCCCCAACCAACAGGGAAGGAAGCAGGATGTAGCCAACAGCAACACCTCTAAGCCAGAGATGAGACCTCTGGCTCCACCCTGCAGAGCTGGGGACAGAGAGGGTGTGGGTACAGACTGTGGAGTCTCTTGTTCTCTGTGCCCCAAGCAGAACTCAACTCAAGTCACGGTCACCATCAGACCCAGCTGCCTTCCGTCTCAAGATACACAGTCTCCCTCCTCCCAGCCTGGCCGTGCCCGACACCCCCCGGTGAGCAGACAGCCCGAGAAGGACACATGTAGGAAAATGAAAAAGGACAGAAGGTCAGGGTGGAACGTTCCAACAGTGAGAGTGGGCTTTCATCCGGCTACCCTGGGCCGGCGGCTGGGAGGACCGTGGAGGCGCCCTGGTAAGGCACTAGCAGGGAGGATGTAAAACCAGGACTGGGAGGGCTGTGACGGTGGCGGTGCTGGGACACACAGGGAAGGCCACCGAGCACTCACACCCATGCACACACGCACGCTCGCGGTCACTCCAGCTCACACGCCCGTGTGACATCACTTAGTTTTGTGCAATCACATTGAAGAATAGTCTATTGGTATCATTGGAGCTGAACACAAAGCCGAAAACGAGGGAGCAGAGTGCTACATTGTACTTGGGGGTCAGTGATGACCACCCGCCCTATGCTACGTGACTAGGGGTTAGGTCAGAGAGAACAGAACTCCTCAGGAAAGAAAGGAATGCGACTTCGCCACAGACGTGATTGATGCCGTTTTAGGAATCACATTGCTCAGGGATTAATCCAGAGTGCTCCGGGAGAGGGACCCGCCCCTCTCCTGGATTTCTACCTGCCCGGCCACCTCCCAGAACCAGAACCTCTCCTCCTGCCTCTCGGCCTTGCCCATCCCAGGCAAGGCCCAAACATCAGCCTCCTCCAGCTTAGCCTGGCCTTCTGGAGGGGGTGCAACCGACCCTTCAGAATTCTGGACAAATCCCTAATTCTTACGTTCAATTCATTAAAAATCTATTGGATTTCCGTATCAGCTGTCCCTGGCAGCAAATTCTTCACTGTCACCTGCTGTCATACGAAAATAATCTTTGAGAAGTTCATGAAGTTCTTCAAATACTGGGCCCCCCCTCCCGCTTCCGGAATCTTCCATGGTGCTCCTCTTCTCTGGTCCAGTTGGGTACAGGGCTGTGTGTTTTCTTTTCCTGACGCTTTCTTTTTTTTTAAATAAAAAGCATAGATTCCCTCCTCCTGAATCCCTTCCTTTGAAAACACTCTCTTCTCTGGTTTGAGTCGTCCCACCGCCTAGTTCAAGTTTCCTCTGTCCCGCCTGCCCTCCCCTGCCCCGTTCACACGGTCTGTGTGCGGCAGGGTGTTCAGTATAAAAAGCCTGCCCCGCCGCCGTCCACCCCCCATGTTTATAAGTAAGGGTACTGGTTGACCTTGGCGGGGCTCAGCGGGTATCCAGTGTAGACCGTGGAGGCCGGCGAGGCGCTGATGTAGGTCTGGTGGGCGAACTGGGTGGGGTACTGACTCGGGTGGAGGGTGGGTGAGGGCAGCACCCGAGGGCCCATGCTCACGGGCACCTGGTGAACGATGCTGGCTGGGTAGGCGGTGTGCTGCACAGGGTGGCGTGCCGAGCCCTGGGAGGCCACTAGGTGGGCCACGGTGCCGGTGGAGCCCAGGGCCGCGGGTGCTGTGTAGGTGTACAGGTGGGGCTGGGCTGGAAGGTGGGCTGCGGCCGCGGCGGCCAAGTGGGGGTGGACCGTGCCGTGGCTGGGGCTGTTGTGTGGGAAGGAGTAGGGGGCCTGGGCCATGGTAGGAGCGATGTAGGCCTGCTGCCGGCGGTGGCTGCCCGTGCGGTCCGTGGTGATGTGCTGCTGGGCCTGGAGAGCCAGAGAGAGGGGAGTCAGGGGGGTGACACGGGTGGACTTGCCCTGTGCGTTCAGAGGAAGTGTAAACTAGAGTTCACAGAAAGGCACCATGCTACCCGCCATCACTGGCTGGGACAGCGCCCCGTCAAGGTGCCCACCATCACTGGCTGGGACGGCGCCCAGTCAGGGAGCCCACCATCACTGGCTGGGACGGCGCCCAGTCAGGGAGCCCACCATCACTGGCTGG